TACCTTGCCAGTTTAACATTGCAAATAATTCTCATTCTTCTATTGATCTATTATCTTTGTCAATGGCGTCCTTCCCTGAATGAAAATCCTCGATTTTGATGACTCAAATGTGATCAACGTTTGTGTCCTAGGGTTTCTATTTTTGAACTTTTGTTTCAAAGCCCTTCCTACCCTTAGGTCATAAATATACACTCCTACGGTATCTTCTATTAACTCTCAAGCTTAAAGACCCTCGTTCGGGAGTTACCTAGTAAGGTTAAGAATGACATAGTTTTCTTTCTTTCCATAGAGTGAGTGCATCTTCCAAAAACTATGCCCTAAACAAACATCCTTTCCCTATTAATTGGTACTGCTCACTTAATCTTATACTAACTCCCTAAAGAGAAATACATCTCAGATCTCTATCCTAGCACACTTATCCATTTGTTTTTCTTCTTGCACAAATACTAAATCTTTTTTAGTAGGACCATCTCTGCCCTTCATTTTATTTTTTGAAGTTGACTTAGCTTTTACATATGCATGAAAAACCCATTGTGAGACATATCATGTATACCTTAGAGTTTATAAAACACATACATACAATTATAGAGTAATTATAAAAGAAATATCGGTGTAAGCCACAGACCGGGTTAGCAAATGTAGTATTGCCGGAGCTCCAGAAGTTTCCTGTGTATCCTGCCCTGAATAAAATAGCCTCTTCCCCAGAGCCAACCAGTATCCTAACTTTTTAAAAATATATTTATTTATTTACTTTTATTATTTTTAATTCTCGAGTGAGGATATTTTTATTGATTTTAGAAAGGGAGAAAGTGGGAGAGAAAGAGAGAGAAACATCAATCAATTGCTTCCTGCACGCGCCCCAGATGGGGACCGAGGATTCAACCTGCACCCTTTCAGTGCACGGGATGTCACTCCCTGTTCTCTCCAACCTAACCACCTACGCATGCATCCTTAAGTAACACTGTTCAATTTGGCCTGTTTTGGAGTTTTCCCCAAATAAAGTTATGCACACATATTTATTTTTGGTTTGTTTAGATCAATATTATTTGTGAAATTTATACATGTCACTGCATGTAGCTCTAATTGTTATATACATTGCCATATAGTATTTCATTACATGAATTAATGATAAGTTACCTATCTACTTTAACCTTATCAACACTTGATTGTCTCTAGTTTTAATTTCCTTTAATGTAAAGACTGTGAAATTACTAACTCAACTTCTTTAATGGTTTCAGAATTATTTCCAAACTGGTTTTTAGTCATTTTTTAAGGAACCGTGGTTGTGGACACTAGCTACCTACCCAAATCCCTCCTTTCTGGGCACAAGGCTACCCAGATAAATTAAATTTCCCAGCCTCCCTTCCCACTAGGTATAGCCATATGACTATGCTCATATTAATAGAATGTCAGTGGAAGCAATTTGTCTATATATTTTATTGATTATGCTACTACAGTTGTCCCATTTCCCCCCTTCACTCCCCTTCACCCTGAACACCCCCTTCCGCCCACATTTCCCCCACTTCAGTTCATGTCCATGTGTCATACTTGTAAGTACTTTAGCTTCTACATTTCCCATACTACTCTCACCCTCCCCCTATTTTCTACCTACCATCTATGCTACTTATTCTCTGTACCTTTTCCTCCTATCTCTTCTCACTCTCCTGTTGATAACCCTCCATGTGATCTTCATTTCTGTGATTCCGTTTCTGTTCTAGTTGTTTGCTTAGTTTGTTTTTGTTTTTGTTTTAGGCTTGGTTGTGAATAATTGTGAGTTTGCTGTCATTTTACTGTACATGTTTTTTTAATCTTCTTTTTCTTAGATAAGTCCCTTTAACATTTCATAGAATAAGGGCTTGGTGATGATGAACTCCTTTAAGTTGACCTTATTTGAGAAGCACTTTATCTGCCCTTCCATTCTAAATGAAAGCTTTGCTGGATAGAGGAATCTTGGATGTAGGTCCTTGCTTTTCATGACTTGAAATACTTCTTTCCAGCCCCTTCTTGCCTGTCAGGTCTCTTTTGAGAAATCAGCTGACAGTCTGATGGGAACTCCTTTGTAGGTGACTGTCCCCTTATCTCTTGCTGCTTCTAGGATTCTCTCCTTCATTTTAATCTTGGCTAATATAATGATGATGTGCCTTGGTGTGTTCCTGCTTGGGTCCAAGTTCTTTGGGACTCTCTGAGCTTCCTGGACTTCCTGGAAGTCTATTTCCTTTGCCAGATTGGGAAAATTCTCCTTTATTATTTGTTCAAATAACTTTTCCAGTTGTTGCTCTTCCTCTTCCCCTTCTGGCACCCCTATAATTTGGATGTTGGAGCGTTTAAAGATGTCCTGGAGGTTCCTAAGCCTCTCATTTTTTGAATTCTTATTTCTTCATTCTTTTCTGTTCGGTTGTTTCTTTCTACCTCCTGGTCCACTCCATTGATTTGAATCCCAGTTTCCTTCCCATAACTATTGATTCCCTGTGCATTTTCCTTCACTTCACTTAGCATAGCCTTCATTTTTTCATCTAATTTGTGACCAAATTCAACCAATTCTGTGAGCATCCTGATTACTAGTGTTTTGAACTGTGCATCTGATAGGTTGGCTATCTCTTCATCACTGAGTTGTATTATTTCTGGAGCTTTGATCTGTTCTTCCTTTTGGGCCATTTTTTTGTCTTGATGTGCTTGTTACGTAGTTAAGGGGTGAAGCCTTAGGTGTTTACCAGGGTGGGACAACCCACGTTGCTGTGTTGTGATGCTGTATGTGGGGTAGGGGTCCCAGAGGGAACAGTGGCACTTGCTCTGCTCTCTGCCGGATTTCACCTCCTCTGCTCCCCTGAAGCAAATTGGGCCCTTGTGGTACTGGTTCCTGGGTGGGTGGGTTTGTGTATGTTCTAGGACCCTGTGGGTCTCTCCAACAAACTCTCCTGTGAGGCCGGGAGTTTCTCTTGCTGCCTCCTCAACCCCCACAGGTGTTTTCAATCAGTGGTTTGAGGCTTTATTTCTTGAGCTGGGCCCCTGGGTTGTGCAGTCAATCCCACTGCCCCTTTGTTTCACCTGGTTTATCTGCACGAGAATGTGGGACCACCTGCTCCACAATCCGCCGCCTCCCTGGGTCCACCAGCTGCCATCTTGCTGTGAGTCCTCTCTGCTCAGCTTCCTGTCTCTGCCCCTCTCACCAGTCTGGATGAATGTTTCTTCTTTAACTCCTTGGTTGTCGGACTTCCATACAGTTTGATCTTCTGTCAGTTCTGGTTGTTTTTTGTTTTTAAGTTGTTGTTGTCCTTCTTTTGGCTGTGCAAGGAGGCACAGTGCGTCTACCTACGCCTCCATCTTAGCTAAAAGTCCCCAATTTGCCTATATTTTTGAAGCCACTTTATTTGGAGCCACTTGGTTACAGTAGCTTAGTGTGATAAAAAATTGAACCTGGAAGGGGGATTCTAAAAATGACATTAAATCTGTGGTTTGACTAGAATCAAGGGAACAGATCACGGGCTGTACAATTTTTATGAGCAAGACAGCAGTGGCAAGTGTTTTTATGTAACCTACCCTTCAGCAGTTACTGATCCTCATTTCTACTACACGTATTACTCACATAGCTCAGCCCCGCTGGAGCTGGGAGGAAGCCGCACACGGGAATGAGCACCAGGAGGGAAGGCTCATGGGGGTATTGCCGTAGTTTCTACCACATTGGTTTTTGTTCTTATTTTTACCAGTCTTTTTTCCGAGCTCAGCTGCCCCTAATCATTACCCTCGTATTCACGCCCACATCTCTGACAATTTGAACAGAAAGACCAGGGAAGGGAAGACCATGCGTCCTCAAGTGCAGCGTTTATTGTGAGGGGCTCTCCTGCTCCTTCCCAAGCCCAAGCCAAGGGAGAGAAGAGGCTCAAGATAATCACATAAAGATTGGGGTGTCTACATGCAGAGGTGCCCCAGTGCCTGGTGACTTTCCTAGGCCCTCCCTGTGCAAGCACTCACTGCTCCCTCAGCAGCCAGACCCCCACTTCTCTCTGGGAGTTCATCAACCACTCTTTCCTAACTTGGTCTGGGCAGAGCCCAAGGTGAGGAACCCCCCCACATCTGACTGCCCTCAGTTTCCCCATAATCTAGTCAACGTTATTTAAACTAGTGGGGACAGGGAAAAAATGATTATATTTTTCAAAACTGGTATACATGCTTAGTTATTATTTTTTCAGCGTCCACCTGATTGTTAAGCTTTTGGAACTTAAAATCTGAGAACTGACTATAGCATTCTGCTGAGTTATTCCTCCTCTGAACCGAGGGAAACTTTGATCTTACTCTAACTCGGGAAGAGTTCCACAGGCTACAAAGCAGACTTGTACCCTGCTACAAAACTTTTCAGCACAACTTTCACCCAACTGTGCAAAATTCTCTAGGAAATAAAGAGGCCTCTCCAACTCTCCATTCTCAGGAAAGAGGAGAAATAAAAGACCAAACCTATCACTTCCCAATGTCAGAGAAAGGGAAGGATGAGGTGCTTGGGAGTGCTGGTTCCCATCAATGACTTGCTAAAGGCTATCCTGGTTTTTGACCAAGAGAGGGACATTTCTATCCATTCTGATAAAACTAAGGTTGAGTTGGTCCTTAAGATAGAACTTGACGCCAGAACCATGCTGTTTCTGATTCCTCAGGTCCAACCCTACAGGACATTGCTTAATAAGTGTTTGTTGCATTAGCCAGGAGAGCAAGTCTAAAGCACTCGGAGGTCACATCACTGAGGCTTCTTCTCATGGTTCAGAGCCAAGCTAATCGTAATAGTTCAGATTTAGAAATCACTAGAGTAGTCCCCCTTTATCTGTGGGGCGTGTGTCCCAAAACCCCCAGTGGATACCAGCAACTGTGGGTAGTATGGAACTTGGTACGTACTATGTTTTGTCCTACACATACAAACTTACAGTGTAAGTAGAAGTAGGTTTACAGTTGTCAGTATGCAAAACTATTTATTCTTGCATTATTATTTATTAATTATTGTATAATTTATTTGCATTGCAACCATAAACCTATTTTTTCCCACCACTGTGTTGTAAAGTTTAATTTATAAATTAGGCGCCGTAAGAGACTAACAATAATGAATAATGAAACAGAACAATTTTTAAAAGTATACTGTAATGAAAATTAGGTGACTAGCTCTGGGGCCACTGTTAGGTAAAATAAGGGTTACTGCAACACAAGCCCTACGACACCATGTGACAGTCTACGTGATAAGCCAGAAGGTCACTGAGTGATTGGCAGGCAGGGAGAATGTGCAGTGTGGAGACGCTGGACAAAGGGACGAGTCACATCTGAGGCAGCAGGTAACAGATGGCTCAAGATTTCGTCCTGCTACTTGGAATGTCGTGCAATTTAAAACTTTGTTTATTTCTGGAAATTTTCATGTAATATTTTTGGACTGCGAATGACCACAGGTAATTAAAGCATGGAAAGTGAGATCATGGATATGGGGCAACTATTGCACAAATAAAGGATGATTATGAAGAAAGAGGTCAGCCCTGCTTGCCCTGAGTGAGGCTTCCCTCAGTCAGACTTCCCAGCCCCTGGTGGCCTCTGTCTGCCCTGGGGAGAATGCAAGTTTGAGGAGGTCTTTGGGGAGTCCTGTGATGCCAAATCTTGCTTTTATCCACACACTGGGCATTTGATTGGCATTTTGTGCCCAGCACAATTGAACATAGAAAAGGGAGTTGTAAATATTTGAACAGCAGCTTTTCTCCCAGTCTGGATGGCGGGTGGCTCAGAATACCACAGTTCTAGGGAGTGGTTTTGCCACAGCTTCCAAGGAGTCCTCGGGGAGCTGGCCACTGAACTCACCACATCTTCCTGTGGAAAGAACAGGGGGGTACCAGACAGAGTGCGTTGAGAGTTTTGGCTTATTGTTGGACTGTCACTATCTCAATTTTCAACTTGGTGAATATTAGGTAACCTCTCTGCTTCTTAACTTTTACCCATCAGAAAAGCCAGGCACGCTTTTGTAGGTGTTCGCCATTTACTTGCAGTTCACTTCTTACAGAGTGAGGGGTTTGCTTTTACCAAACACGTAGTCTTTTGGGATTACCTGGAATCTAGAGCACACAGTACAGAGCTTTGTGATATATGGTGCCTATGAGAAGTGTCCTTTTGTGTATAGCAGCCACAGTGCTGCCTTGGAGCACAGAGCCATTATTGGCATACTCGGTGCTTATCCCGGGCTTCTCAGACAGAACATTTTGGATGCGAAGAACCTGCCAAGAGAAGACAATTGGTCAGTACACTGTATGAGCAAACAGCCATTAGTGACATTTTCCTTCCCAATACTCTAGGACTGCTATACTTCTCAGAAATCAATAAGCTAAAATTTGTGTATCTTCAATCATGTTTTTCTTCTGAAGAAAGTGTTAATGTCCTAATGATATCTATGCAGTCCAGTGGACTAGTTTACTGACATTAGACATATTCTCATTAGAGGCTTAGGGAGAAATGAAAAAGGGACATCTAGTTACCAAGCCAAGCTCACCTGGGAGCCAGCAGGCTGGGAGTCATCCCTGCCGGAGCCCCCTCGCATCCCAGAGGTGGCTAGGAAACGTAAAGAATGCACACTTTGGAATGCAGTCGGATTCATCCCTATCTCAGACTGTTATGGATCCCCAGGCTTAACGTACGTTAGGTTGCTAATCAGTAGATATAAAAGTGTTCAAGTTTCCAAAGAGGCCAGATGAAGTTTGTTCAAACTAGACATGATAGGGATTAAAGAAAACCAATTCAAAATTCACAAGTCCTGAGCCTATATTGACATCTCTTATTAGAATAGTTTAGTGGAGGGTTTTTTTTTTTAATCTTAAGAAAAATCCTACAACTACATCTCAGGTTTTGTTACAGGAAAATACTCAGGCTTAGAAATGATGTAGAAAACATTAGCTTAAACCAAAAAGAAAGCATGTCAGTGACTGTGAAGAAAGAAGTCTTACCTAAAATAAACACATGATTAAACTTGAAAACACAGGCATGAAGAAGAGCCTAAACAATTTTCAAATTATCGTATAGGTTGTATTTTAATTTTCTTAAAGCAGACATTTTTGTTGGGTGTTTGTAGAATAGTTATCAGTTTTGGGGGGGTGCACATCTGAGGCAAAGGTAACTTGCTAGTTTAGGGTAATAATTCTTCAGGCTTTAGGGTCAGGCTGGACTTTTGGGGTTTTTTACATTTCTTGTTTTTTTGTTAAAGAAGATATGACTAGTATGTTAATAAGATAAACAATTTTAAAGAACTGAAGAAAAGCAATACAAGAGGGGGGCCCCAAAAGACTGAAATTATCTTCTGAAGGGCTAGGTGAGTGCTCTAGGAACCCATCCGTATCAGTGTGCCAGCTGGCGTCGTTGTGAGAGGCTTTGTTCGGCTTCAGTGAATTCTTGTTTGAAGACTCAACACATTTGCCCATTTCATGATGGGTGATTTACAGGAGCACCTGTGCTGCGTGTTCAGCAGTTTCTGACCCAAAAGAGCATGACCCCACGCCCCATCCTCCCTACTCACCTGATCTCTCCCCAAGCTACTTTTTTTTTGGTTTCCCTGGATGAAGAAAGTCCTTAAAGGAAAATGTTTTGCCAGTGTGGAAGGGACAGAAGCATTAAAAGACATCAAAATCAAGGAGTTCAAAAACTATTTCGAGCAGTGGAAAAAACATCTCCATAGGGGTATTGCATCAAATGGAGAGCACTTTGAAGGTGACTGAAGTTTAAACATGTAAGAATACACAATACTTAATAAATAAACTCAGTGTTTTGGCATCCCTCTTCATATTAGAAGCAGAAATAATCATGTGTTCTAATTAATCCATGGGTCAGTTATGAGCCTAGGGTTTGAATGTGTTTCCCGACTGCCCAAACCTGGATTCAAACATTGTATCTCTTTTCAAACCTAACTGCTACCCCAATCTCTCTATTTCATCATAGGCCCCGTCCGTCCCCCTGTTCACACTACTCCTGATGCTGTTTATGATACTTTCTCCCCATAGAACTTACCACTTCAAACATATTATATAATTTACTGTTTCTCATGCTTATTGTTTATTGTTTGCCCCCCCTCCCTAAGAACAAGGTTCTTTGCATATTTTGTCTGCTGATATATCCTAAGCATTGAATCAAAGTCTGGTATACATGTTCAACACATTTTTGTGACTAAATATCTTAGGGTATATCTGCCAAGAATTTATATCTATATTTAAATTCACCTGAGATTTTTTTATTCTTAAACTTAATGCTATGGAAAACACAAGGCGTTAAGCTATTGTTTTTAATGGCATGTAAAATGTAAAGGCCTATGCTATTGTTTTAGAAGAGATGTTAAATAACACAAATAACATCTTTAAAATTAGACATTCTTTAACACTATCATATATATTAGAACCTGGTGGCAAAAAATTAATTCGTTTTGAGACGATAGCCATTTAAACCCTTTCATCTGAGCTTCACGTTTGGCCGTGTGAAGGAAAGTGGTTCTGTATATTGGTGTCCTCAGGGCCTGCTCTGAGCCTCCATCCTGACTGGAAATATGAATAGCAACCTTGGTACATATGAATAATCAAGCTCCTATTTTCCCACTAGTCCCAGCGGAAAGTGGAGCCCCAGCTAGGATTCGGCACATTGTCTAGTACTGATGGTAAATTTGTATCCCGTCACCTGTCAGGGTCAATGGGCCATTCCTCCTCATCCTGGTACAATCTTTCCTCATTCCCTGTGTTCATTTGTTACTCCCGAGTGACCCACTCGATACTCCCGAGTCATCTCTACAAATCGTTCGTCTTACAGCCTCGCCCGAGTGAGCTCAGAGAAGTATAGGAACTTACTTCTGACCCTGGAGGATCCTCAGGGCTGTAGAGAAACAGCTTCATGGCGTTAGGATGGCATCCTACCCAAATATCTCCTGTGTCAGGATCCACAGTTAGGTTATCCACCAAGGTGTCCAACTGTATTACCTTGCAACAAAGAGGAAGTAGTGAGGATGTTGTTTTGACTTTCTTCCTTACCCCTCCTCCCTCGCACCAGCTCCTTCTGGCTTCTAAAATTAGTATTAACAATGGGCTTTGTTACTGAATTTCAGAAATGCATGCACATCTTCACCATCATATTTTTTTCATTGATATGTTTCCTTCATTCAAGGAGCGCATTCCTAGATCAAGCGTGGGAGCTAACATCAGAGGTCACGTTGTGTGGGCAAGCCAGGGCACTGTTACCTTCAGCTGAGTTAAATCCCAGTTACCACATATTTGCATTACATGGATGCTCTTATCCATGACATCAGCTACATAAATATACCTTTGAAGTAAATCACATTTACATGTTAGTGATATTGGTATTATTAAAGTATTACTAGTACTATAGTAGTTTTAAAAGATGACAGTAATTTTATTTGCTATAACATGTATAAAAATTAACAGTAGTTCAAGACACCATGATAATGGCTTTCTAAACCATAGCAAAAAAAAAAAGATAATGGGGTGGTATTTTTAATATTCTTGAAGTGCTTTAAATATGCTCTGAACATGTGACAGAACTATAAAGTAATGTCATTACTAGAGGACATACAAGTTCAGCCTCATTATTTGGGGACTCTTTAAATCGAATGGAAGTAAGTGGACCTCTTATAAGACAAAAAGAGTCTCTACATCCAAAAGCTAGTCCTTGGCAAGAACATCCAGATGACCATGAGGTTCAATCACAGTCATTTCTACAAGGAGAAAGAACACTTAAAGTTGTTTTCCACAGGGATCATCTCCATTCATGGTCTCAAATGTATGTGTTTATTTACATACATTTAAAAAAAAAAACCTTCCATTTTAAAACACTTTAAAAGAATTGTCCATAAAACTGCATGCTTCATAAAAAGTATTTTCTCATAGAAAACTGCTGCAGAGAATCAGTAAGTCTGAAATTTATACAATTGCCATGCCCAGTCTAAATTGGGCCTCTCTTTCTACTAAGAACTTTTAAGGAACTGAACTCAGTTACAAGCAGTGTAAGGCCTTCCGGTCTCATACGAGGCAAAGGTATGGTGGCTTTACTTTCCCTTTTAGTGTGTTAGATTAAGTGTATTTCTAGAGTTCCATGAGAAAAATGGAAACAAGGACTTCATATCCTGGAGTCCCAATTCCTCATTTCGTTGGCAGGGTGAGCCTAAGGCACCAGAAGGCAAATGGTCTGCTTCAGGTCAGACGGTGAGTAAAAGCCCTGGCTGCTGCTCAGCCCTCCACGCGTGTATTGACTACTTAAGCTAAGGAAGTAACCCACCTCTTAGGGGAAGGAGTCCACTAAAACGTCAAGGCCCAAGGGGAGAAAAAGCATAAAAGAGCTTACTTACTTTTTATCTGGTGAGACTGTGATCCCATTGGCAGAACTAAATCCTCTGGCCACCACTTTGACCTCTTGTGGACTGTAGAAAAGAACGTAAGTCCATTGAAGGTCCAGCAGCAGCTCTACCAGTGACAAGAAGCTGGTGAAATAGTGGTCTCTGGTGGCATAGAACAGTTCTGGACCGAGAACCACAATGTCATTCACACTAAAGGGGAGACAGAGAAAGGGAGAGGGAACGGATGGAGTACTGCTAAATAGCGACTGCTGTCAAGTCACCAAATCTCTACACAGAGCAGTATGTTCATCAGTTTGCAAAAGCATACATGTGCTGCTCCCCACTGTGTCTCAGAACCCAGCACAACGGATCATGAGAGAAGGTTCAGGAACTTCAACTTCACTTACTTCTGCCCACTGCTGTTATGGCTTCCAGATTCTATGGGAGAAGTTCATACACAATGTTGAGAAAGAGAGCAAAGACGGGAAGGTGAACTTTCTTTTCCTTTCCCATTCTTCAGTCTCATGGACAGATTAACCTCAACTGTCTTACAGCCCGTCTTTCAGGGTTGGGTCCATGTTATAAAAGACAAAGTCTTCATTGTTTGTGACAACCTTGAAACAGGCAACCAACCTAGCCTCTAAAAAAGGTACTATTTTTTTTAACACAATAAGGAAAATGTTTTTCATTGTGATTGAGAGCCCAGCTTTGAATTCCGACAGATCTAGGTTTACACTCTGGTTCTGCCACTTACAAATTATGTAACATGGGCAATTATTTCATCTAAAACTCTCAAGTCTCAGTTTACTCATGCCTATTACCCAAGGCTACTGGGAGCATTAAATTAAGTACTTTGGTACAGAGCCTGGCACATCGTCAAAACTTGATAAATGTGAATTTTTCAGACGTGCCCACAGGCTTTAAAAAAAATTCCACTTTGAGCTCTCGTTGAACGAAGGCAGAGTCCATGTGGAGGTTGGTTATAACACCCAGTGGGTGTGGCTCTAGGAACACCACCTACCAGGATAACTAGAAATGGGTGGAGGTGTTTAAACAGAGCCCCGCAGTCGGTACCGCACTGTTGTGGTGCAGAGGATGGAATTCGAGCTGGGATTCTAACTGAGCACCTGTAGAGGATCAAAATGCTTCCAAGAAGCTGGAACGCATAAAGACATATGATACTAATACAACCATTTCCAGTGAGGTGCTGGGCAGGATCACCGTGGGAACCTTCAGAGAGCTTCGGAAAACAATGCTACAGGACAAAAGTTTAAGAAAGCCTGCTGAGCCCAAGAAAACAAAGCACACAGCAGAGGTGCAAAATAAATAGAGTGCAAAATACCTTAATTCCATACCTTTTGAGAAGTTCGTGTTCTATAGTTTTCAGGTGTACCAGAGAACGTTGTTGTTCCTCAAATTTAAATATCTCCACAGTGGACTCCATGTGGGGATGATTCACAACATAAAGATACACAGAATGGTCTACAGTGGGAAAAAACATCATTTCCCATAAATTTACTTCTATTGTAACTATTACTAGACTTGGTGTACAACTTGGTCATGTCCAAGGTTATTTCTCACACATCTTGCATTTGATTCCCACAGTCCACCTCACAGGTAAGTCAGACAAATGTCAGTGTCCATATTTTACTGAAGAAATGGAGACTCAGCACGGGAAATGACTTGTTGACAATTTTACCACCAACAAGTGGCTAAGCCAAGCCCTGACATTTTACATGGCCCCTTCACCCTTAGCTACATCTCCCTTCTAACAGGAAGACACACAACTCCCATGGCGTGCAAACACAGATGTGGTTTCTCGGGATGGCCCTTCACCAGGAGAAGTGGGGGCAAGCAAACACAGCTTTGCTGAGAATGCATTTCGGTGAGAATCCCCTACATTGCAACACACGTTCAAAAACTCTTGGGGCTGTGTGACTACCTTAAAATAAGCAACACTTGCCAGCTAGAGAACAAACTTTCAACAGAAGTCATTCACCTGAGACTTGCAAGAACAATATTTAATGAGGCCAATGGATGCAGAATGTAAATATGAGTGCAATAGGTAAGAGACTAGCTGATTTGGGGTGTTACCTCAGGAATGTTCAACCACCACTTTTCACGCTGGTACATGAGCTGCTGTGAACAGGATTGAGGGTAGTAATCGACTTCTCCAAGAACGGTTTTCTGATTTCTCAGGAACTCCAGGTCAGACGTGCTTTAGAGTTTGAAAAGACCCACCAGGCCCTCCCCCTCAACCCCCACAAGACTTGATCTGAGTTCATCTCCCCTATTCCCACCTTTGATGGCATCTCCAAGAACATAATGGAGCAAATTTGGGCCCTGAGATGGCCCCCAAAACGCACACACACCTTGACCCAAATTAAGGAAAGGGCGCATCTGACCTGGAGGGTCAGACCTGTGAGGGCATGTTGCCCTCACAGATGAATCTGTCTTTCAGTCTGACCTGGCTGTTCCGGGGCCAGGCATTTGGATTTTAGCCCTCAGCCAGGCTCTCTGCCGGACACTCGCTGTCCCGGCCTGGCCCCCCTCTAGGCCTCCTCTGGACCCCTCCTCCCATATAAGCATTGCTTGGAGAGAATGATATTCTTCTCTTTCTCACTTCATTCCAATTTATATGTGATGTTTTGGCCTTATGAACCAAATGCACAATTAAGGGAGGTAACTAATAAAATAAGATGTCAATCATACACTCCACTTCTGAAAGCCTGATTAAATGCCTGAGGGTTGACCTGTAAACTGTGAACTAGTCCCATCTGAAAAAATAAACAAACCAACTCCCACTGCCCCCTCCCCCCCCAAATACTTCCACCTCTAACACTATCCCACGCAATAAAATAGCTCCAAATCAGTCTGATCACTCATTACATCTTCTCCGGTGAAGCATCGTATGTCTAGTGAGGTGTCAGCCCCAAAGTGGTCACTTTTGTGTTATTCAAGTAGAGCCTGGAGCCCAAATTTTACCCAAGTAAAGAATAGAGGGTGTGAAGTAAAAGCACCTGCACTGTAGTCCTGGAACTGCCACTTACTAGGGACAAGAGCGAAGCCACACTTCACTGTGTTCCTCCACCCTGCACATCTCCATCTACAAAACTGAGCACTGATGTCGGAACTGCCTGTCCCATAGTGTTCATTCATTTATTTATTTCATACATGTTCACAGAGCAGCAGCTATGGTTCTAGACTCTGGGAATCCAGCAATAGGCAAGTCACATAGGCTTCTATGGTGATTATATTCTAAAGAAGAAAATGGGAAGGAAAGAATTCGTAAATAGACAAAACTGAAGTGGGAGATGACTTCTTCATAGAGCAGCCACTTGAGCAGGGCCGGTTAATCTTGGCTCCGAAGGAGCCAAGAAGGAGCTCCTACAGAGCAATAGTAGAAGAAGGAAAGAAGGTTGGCATCTTTTAACATTAATAAAAAACATTAGTTGCCATTTTGATGAGTGCTAAAAGAAATGCAAGGAGAAGGACTATAACCAGGTTCGTTTCCTGAAACAAGATGGTGGGAAGGCCTCCCTGAGAAGGTGCCATTTAAGTTGAGGCCTGAATGATGAGGAAAAGGAAGACAGAAGCAGTGGAAAGACATTCCTGGCAGAGGGAACTGCCATTGCAAAGGCCCTGAGGCACATGGCATGTACTGGAGTAAAAGAAACCCAGCATGGCTGGTCCACAGTCAGGGGGAGAGGAATGTCCAGGGAGGCTGCACAGAGCACCCAGATGGCGGAATGTGTCAGAGGGGCAACTGGGAAGCGCGGTTATTTTGAAGATTTGCAGTTTATCTTCAAAGCAATGGGAAAAACATGGAGACTTTTAAGAAGAGAGTGACATGGTCAGATTTGCATTGGAAGTAACTCTTGCTTAGGAAAACGAATTGCGCCCTGGCTGGTGTGGCTCTGTGAGTTGAGCACGGGTTGAGGACCAGGGGATCGTCGGTTTAGTTGCTGGTGGGGGCACCTGCCTGGGTTGCGGGCTGGGTCCCCAGTGGGGGCCACATGAGAGGCAACTGCACATTGATGTTTCTCTCCCTATCTCCCTCCCTTCCCCCTTTTAAAAATAAAATATTTTAAAAATATGTATATATAAAAAAGGGATTGAGGTAGTATAAGAGGGAAGGTGCAGTCATGGGAAAGACACATGTGAGACACTTGGATTGGGCTGGTGGCAGTGAGGATGGGGAGAGGCGTACAGCTTGGATAGATGTTGAAGAAGGAAACTGGACAGAGCGTTGAGACCAAATGATCCATTGGGACGGGGAGAGGACAAGTGTCTGGTAGGATCCAAGGTTTTATTTTGAGGAATAAATGAGTTACATATAGTGGAAAATGCTTTGCAAACCAAGCAACAGAAAACTGTTAGGTACAATTACCTTTTAAAGATGGGCTTGCTAAGCAAATAAGCAGAGATACAGGGATGAGCAAAAGTAAATCTACGGCTGTTTGTATGGAAAGACATGCAAGTTATGATTTATTATAATAACTTTGTGAACTCAAAAGGATGTCACAGTGGCACAGTAAATCTATTTTTGCCCACCCCTGTATAAGATTTCAGGGTAATGTTTAACCTACTTAATAAAATAGTATTCAAGCATTTTTAAAAATATCCATTTATTTAAAATTGAACAAGTCACTGTTGGTGCAGATGAAAGTTACTGGATAAGTGGATAGAAGTAATTATGAATCATTCCTTTTTATTCACTAAATCAGTCAAGCAAAATTATACCGAATAATGCATTGTAATTCCAGCACGTGTTTCGGATTAAAGTGCCGTTTCTTTAAACATTTGGAATTGCAACACTTCCATTTGGCCCTCCGTTATGTAGCTACTATTAGGTTTTACTGTTGTTATTTTCTGCATGCTGTATGGACCCACAGATATTTAAAGATTAAACCAATCTGTACTTATGAATTATCCACAAGTAAAAATAATATTGGAAATTGCTTTAAAGTAGATACAATGGATGAATACATAGGTTTTGTTTTTATAACAGCTTTTTTTGAGATATAACTCATACTTTTAAAATGTACAAGTTAGTGGTTTGTAATATATTCACAGAGTGGTACAACCAGAGCTACTAATTAGTGCCAGAACATATTCAAGAAGAAAATGTCCCTGCAGGAAGAAACTCCACACCCATTAGCAGCTACTCCCTGCTCCCCACGACCCTCAGCCCCTGCCAATCACTAATCTAGTTTTTGTATCTATGGATTTTCCTATTCTGGACACAATATAAGTGGAATCATACACTATGTGGCCTTTTGTAATTTAATTCTTTCACTTTGGATAATGTTTACAATGTTCTTCCATGTTGTAGCATGTCTCAGTACCTCACTCCTTTTAATTGCCGAATAACATTCCATTACACAAATATACCACTTTGCAATGCATTCACCGGAGGATGGGAATTTGGGTTATTTACACCTTGCGGGTATGAGGAAAGATGCTGCTCTGAACACTTGTGTACAGTGTTTGTGTGGACCTCTGTATTCGATTCTCTCAGGTACATGCCAAGGAGTGGGGTTTCTGCTTCACGTGGTAACTCCATGTTTCACGTTTTGAGGAACTGCTAAACTGCTTTAAAAAATGACGGCCCCGTTTTACACCCTCAGCAGCAAAGTGTGAGGGTTCCAGTTTTTCCACAGCCGTGCCAACGTTTGTTATTATCTGTCTGTTATTGTGAAGTGGTATCTCATGGTCGTTTTGATTTGTATTTCCCTAATGACTAAGGATAGTGAGTAGCTTTTCATGTGTTTATGGGCTATTTGTATATTTCTCTAAAAGACATCTAAGATCCTTTGCCCATTTTTTAATTGGGTTATTTGTCTCTTTATTGCTGAGTTGTAAGACTTATTTATGTATTCTGGATAGAAGCCTCTTATCAGACGTATGGTTTGCAAATGTTTTCTATCATTCCTTGGGTTGTTTCTTCCCTTTCTTCATCATGTCTTTCGAAACAGAAAGCTTTTAGTTTTGGTAAAGTCTGATTTACCTATTTTTTCCTTTACATTATGCCTTTAACGTCACACAATTGTCTTCAAAGGTTCTTTAGATTATAGGTTAGATTTCTGACAATATGCAAACTCACTCTGATGGTCAAATGAGAAGAAAAGGGGGTAGGAGAAAGAGGGATTGATCGCTTGTCTCCCTTCTTTAATGTGATGCTTCAAAATGTGTTGATACACACTTATTATTTTACGAATGTACATTTTTATGGTAATATAGCATCTTCTCTCCTTTCACATGAATGTTAAGTAGCTGGCAGTGAGTGGTTTGTATTTCCTTCACTAGCCCTCATTCCTAAGCTTTCAAGCTTTACCTTTGTCGGTGAAAACACTGATCCCATGTGGATTAAATGATGCTTTGTCAAACCCATCACTGATGGTTAGGGCCTGGACCCTTGGGTTTTGCTCATTCAGATCCATCATGAAGATTTGTCCTGGCTCATCAGGTGCAAAGCATGGCATGCCTGGATATTTTAATCCCTTTAAAAAATAGAGAACAAGTCTGAACATATATACATATCAAAACGATATTTTCATATGGAAGTCAAAATCTCAAAGCTCTAAGTTTCTATTGGATTTCTTGGACTTTTTCCCCTGTTAGCATTTGCCATTATCTGATCTGAGGGATTACCGATGTCATCTAAACCATTGGGGAAAGAAAAAACCCAGAGTCAATGTTTAATGTAGAGAGAAGGGGGTTGGCCGAAATGGATAATGCAAGACCCTAGGCTGTGTCACTTGGTGCCTGCCTTTGCTTCAGGCACCCTCATTTAGGAAATGAGGAAGTTAAAACGTGTGATGGCCAAGAGTCTATCCAGTCGTGATATTCTGTAGCTCACCTTCCTCAACGCAGGGAGAAGGGGTGTATGGTTTCATTGTATTGCTCCCATCCCTACATCGATTGTGTTTTGTAATAGAATTAGTCAAGAGTTAACATAGGAAAACCAGTCTCAGAGAGACTGTTGACACAGGTTGACTGTTTCTGGCCTATTTTGTTCCTATAGATATGTCTGAAAATTTGAACATGAATCTTTTTCTCTAAATAACGCAGAAAAATTCATTCCAGTAACTTGGACGGTGGCTCTGTTTATTGGAAAGACCAGGTGTTCATCGACCGATGATGATAGGCATCCTGAACGTGTTGGGCCTGGGGGGCATCCCTGGTCAGTGTGTCAGGTCTTGTGGTCGGTTTATTCTACACAAATTACAAAACTCAGCCCACTTCTTCCTGGCATCCCTCCTTCATCACTCTGACATATATCAATATCAACAATCTTGTATCTTTTCTTGAACTCTTATTTTTACTTATACTCAACATAAACTCTCTCCTTCCTACTCTATATTCCATCTCTGTCTCTCTCCCCTACCCTTCCCTTTCTTGCAAATACGCACACACAGGTGGACACACTCTTACTTATAATAATACTATTCTTGGCCCCTTCCACTGTCTTCCACCTCACACCTGGGTGAGGGAACCTACGTCTGTAAATTTTTCTTAGAATATTTTTTCTTAAGAATATCTAAATCTTATTGGAGACCAGCTTTCCCCCAGGCAATGCTGAAACACATCAGAGAAGGCGCGATGCCCTTTTACATTCTCCTTAAGTCACCGCACCTGGGGAGGGAGCCGCATGCCCCCTAGCCCAAATTTTTCTTTCCAGGTCACAAATATGCTATCATCAATCAGCAGCTGGTCTTCTAAGGAAGCCATGCTCTTTGCTCACTGCCTCTGTATCAGATTCCTTACCAACTCCCTTTGCCCTGGTTAGTCTTTGCTCCAGGGTTAGTCTAAAATCAGGTCAGAAAAACCTACACGCAAAGTTACCATTCCAGCTTCAACCAGACATTCAGTGATGGTTATTGGCCTTTTTATTTATTCTAATTAGGTAATCTCCCATCCAACTATTAACCAGGCCTGACCCTGCTTATCTTCCCAGATCGGATGAGATCGGGCATGTTCAGGGTGGTATGGCCATGAACTCTAATAGGTAATCTATTGCCTAAGTGACATTTCTCCAAGTGTCTATTCTAAATTTATTTCTTATCTTCCAGAGCCCACACTTTCATCCTCTTTATTCTGATGGATAATGTTACCTCCTATTTCTCTGAGGGAAAAAATCATAAACAAATGTCCGACATAAATTTCCTCTGATTCCCTGCCTTCTGTCTCCAATTCTCCAGTTTTATCAATTCTTTTTCTTTCTCCCTCTTTTCATAAGGACAGAATATCCTTCTTCAGCTCTTCACTCTGTCGTCTGTTTGTTTGGTTCCTTGTTCCCTAGGGCCTGTCTTTAGAAATTATATTCTCTCTCTTGCTTAACCACTTATTTTTTAGCAATGCCCCATTCTTTTGCCTGAAAAATTGTTCATTTGTTGTTCCTTGAAATGAATCGCCCCTAACTATACTATTTCTTCAAACATGCATTTAGCTTGCCTTCCCTTCACTCTCAAGTTTCTTGGAAACATCACTTGATATTGTTACTTGGTTTAATTTGCTCCAACTCTAATTGCCTAAAAACAGTATTCTGTAGTTTATAGAAATGCCTCTACAACGGTCCTACCAATGGCCTCTAAAAGATCTTGTCTGATAACCCTTCAACTTCCTCTCACCTATATGTCTGCAGCATTTGGCACCATGGCACACCCCTTTGTTTCTGGTCAGAACCCTCAACATATAGAATTTCCCAACAGAAGTCCTGCTTCTCTTCCTTCCATTTTCATTTGTCCCTCTCTTCTGCTAGCTCTATACCCTTTCACTGAAGATCTTATTCATAGGATTTTTGAATCTTATGGTCGACACCAATGTCTTTTAAATCTACACATTTACTGGGAATCTCTCTCTGGAATTCTAGCTTGCATTCCTGCCCAACTTTTTCCTGAGGGCAGCTCATAATCAAATTGTCAAAACCCAAATCAAGATTCTCTTCTCTCATCCTGCTTCCCATTCACATTATGCTTTAAGAACATCCCCAATATCAGCCTACAAAATTCAGCCTTTATGAGGCAGGATAGTGAGAAGCTAGGAAAATTCCTTGGCAGGTGGCATGAGGAAACTGAGGCAGACAGTTGCACACACTGGCTGAGCAATTTATGTCCATATACAGAAGGGCACCCAGGCAGAAAAACTGGGCACCTAGCAACAGGCAAAACTGGCATATCCTCCCCCTGGAATATCACTGGCCACGCATTTTAGAGCCCTGACCTTTCATACCACTGACCATGGTGTTTAGACCCCCATGGCCTTTCCTCCCTGGATAGAACATCTAGGCCTCAGTTGTACTTCAGCTCCAAGCCCAGAAAAGCAGCAAAACCACGTGGGCAACTCCAGGACCAACTGCAATGACTAATGATACTCCTGTCCTGGCTCCCACCAATTAGAGACCATGACCCTAAAAGGACACACCTGGAAAAGCTGATGCATATTCTCTTGAGATCTCCCCTAAAATTCCAGGTTTTAAAACCCTCAAAAGCAGAGGTCCCAGCAGATGCTCTTTCTTTCAGAAACAGAACTGTGCCTCTCTCTTCTCCCTCTTCTTCACCCACTGGAACACAACTCCTAAACTTAACGGATCCCACAAGACTTGCAACCGGGATAGCAGCGGGCAGCCAGATCTCAGGGAAGACTAACCCCCTGAACCTGTCTCCAAGGCCCCCTTTTCTCTGACTTCTCAATGAGCCAAAGCAGCCTCATCATGGCTCTTTTCTCTCCTATAACATTTCTAAGAGCCAAAGCAGCCCTGCCTAGGCTGTCTCCTGTTGCTTCTTCTAGCTTAGGTCCTTTCTTGTTGCACTGTGTCCAGCTGGAACAGACATACTCTCACAGTCACCTGGACTTGTGTTGTGCAATCACTCCTGCACAAAACCAAGAACATACACACTGCAGGGTGACCCGAGGCGGCCCCACTCCAGGCCTGGTCTACCTTCCACAGTCGATCGATCACCAAGTCCAGTGCATTAGATAATAATAGTAGTATTGAGGGAAAAAATGTCAGAGACATTGAATCCTTTCCTTTCCAACTGTGGAAAACCTTAACTCTCACCTGAGGAAAATTAATCCCAGAGAAGTCTATTGCCTAAATTACGCAGATCATTAATTGCAGCCTCTTTTGCCATACCATACAGAAAGGTTTGATAGACAACCATATTGCCTGGGAAGGTAGCTCAAGGCTACCTTGAGCACCAAAGCAAGTACCATGATAGCTTGGGTGTATATGAGGGCACTGTCAGCTAGTACCGAGACTGGATATTCTAGAAATGAAATTAATCTGACAGGAAAATAAGGGTGGAACACTGCCAAAAGCTTGGCTAGATTAAGTGTCACGATGAATGAAGCACCTCCGATGAGATGGCTTCCCACTCACTGGTTTTCTGTTTCAGGCGGTTGGGTGAGAATTTGTGGCAAGTGACTGTACACAATTCTTTTGATATCATTCATCACTGAAAATGCTGAAAATCACTTGGAGATGAGGCAGGAAAGTAAGAAGCCAGGAAAGTTCCTGGGCCAGTGGAATGGGAAAACTGAGACAAGAAAATACATAAGGCCACACAGTTTGAGCAACTTACAGCCAGCTGGTGAATCACAAGAACTTATCTCCCCTACCCAAGGACACTCGAGAGCAAGCGGTTTATAACTCTCCTCCCTAACCAGAGAATACATAGCTTAAATCTCCCCGGCCTGGGAAACAGAGAACAGAGATCCCATTAATGTCTTGTGCCAGCTAAACCCAAGGACAGACTGTCAGGGGAGCAAATGAACAAAAACCCCATGAAAAGCCAGACAGACCCAAGATAAAAGAAAAACAGTATAGCAGAACAAAGAATATTATCAAACCTCCCTATGCACGCATTTTCACACATCAGCATATTAAAAACACACCAGGTAAGCTGATGAAGATTCTGTTGAAACCCTCCCCTAAGGTCCTCACCTGCAGAAAAAAGATAAAAACCTCTCAGGACAAAGACTCAGGGTGGGCTTGCTCGAGAGCATGCCTGTGCCTCTTCCCAGGCGTGAACTTTTTACTTCCTCCTAAACTCTCAGGGTCCCCATGAGACTTGCAGCCAGGGGAGCAGAGAGCAGTGGCAGTTCAACCCAGGATAACCCCGAATCTTGTCTCCAAGGCCCCCTTTTTCTCTGACTTTACAGTGAGCTAACAGCAGCCTCACCTTGTCTCACTCCCTTCCTAGAGCTTTTCTAGGGAGCCAAAGCTTAGGTTCTCTCCTGTTACTTCTTCTGCACTAAGTCCTTCCTTTGTTTCACTGTCCCCAGCCTTAAGGTATGTACTTTCAAAATCCCCTGGACTCGTGTTATGAAATCTTTCCTACACAAAGTCAAGAACTCACACTCTCGAGGCTGGCCTGAGATAGACCCACTCCAGGCCCATCCCTGCCCTGGTAGCAGAGGTACAAGCATCTTATTTCCCCCCAAAGACTACATCTCTGTGTGGACAGGCAGTGAAGTCCAGGCCTCATTCTCCAGCACATGCGTTCAGTAAATATTCAAGCATCTGCGTATGCCAGATAGTATGTTCGGCACCGAGCGTGGCCATGAACACGCCAAAGTCCTGGCCTCAAGGAGAGCTTGAAATCCACAAAGACAGCACCGAACAAGCTCATCGGATATGGTATTATATGTAAGGACCTAAGCGCAGAACCCCAAGGGACCAGAGAGGAAACACTGCACCCGCCAAGAGTGTTAGGGAAGGCTTTGCTCAGGAATGAAAGTGCCGTCGCAGAGATCTCTCAGAGAACTCAAAGTTGGCTGGCACATAGAAAGAAGGGAGGAACTTTGCAGGCAAAGAGAAGCACGCCAAGGACCAAGATAAGGAAGCAAAGAGCCTGCTCGGCCTTTCTAAATAGACAAAGAATATCACACAGAATTAGCCTTGAGATCAGCAGCTTCCAAACATGTTCTAGGGTGGCAAGAAAGGGGGCAAGAGAAAATAAGAACAAGGACTTGAACTGATTATAGTCCTAAAGATTAAAAATAAACCAACATCCTCCTTCGCTTGTAAGTTACCAGTTGTTGGCTCCTTTACAAAAATAGCTCCATTATTTAAAACTCCATGTTAACATTTCTCATTAGAGTATTTGTTATGAACATCTCTATTTTCTATATAGCACTAAGTCAGTACTTTTAGTTCCAGTGAAAGTAGAAAAGAAGCATATAGTGAGAACGGCAAATATTACTTCCTAACAGCACAGAAATCTCCCAGCTATATTTATAATCATTTTGAAAGGTCTATTTGGCATAACATTGAAAATCTAAATTGTCCGTAGAAAATGTAAGTCAACAAAGAAAAAGCATTTCTAGACGGCTTTGTTTTCTCTTTGGTTTTTGAGGAAAACAAAAGAAATAGAATCCCTCCCACCCCCGCCCACCTCCACACTTACCACCACCAGTAGCAATTTAAAATACAAACAAGACCCTGACTATACTGTGCATATTTAAGAATTTAGACATTCAGGCCATTAAGGATTATTATATGTGCCCCCCTTTTGACCAAAATGATATAGACTTAAAAGGTCATATTATTTGGTAGTAAATGGAACTAATGGTAGTTCCACTTTCTTGGCCAAAATGGAACATTAAGACATGCAATTTCAGAAATCAGAATTCACAAGGGAAATGTAATCAATCTACTTCTTCAGTGTCTTACAGCCCACTTCAAATTGCAACTGATTCAACAAATGTATGACAGTTTTCAACATCTTTACAACATATACACTTTCATTCACTGAAATTCAATCCCACACATAGCTTCCTGATCACCCCAAGCCTGTGAAAATGGTATTGGGAATAAAATGGAGGCTTTTCTCTACTTCTCTTTGAAAGAGCTGAAAGAATGATAGAGAACCCAAGATGGAAAATGCTCTGGTGTTGAATCAAGTACCATGGGTAACATTCAATCCACATTTACTGACCTCCCAGTGCAAGCAGGCCTAGTGAGAATACTACTAGTTAGTGAAAAAATGATTACCAGAAGATAAGCCTGGCCAAATAAGGCAAAGGCGGGATGGACAGCAAAGAACAGAGCTGGATATTAGTGTAGGAATTGAACAAAAATCATTAGACATTTGCTGAGACCCCACTGAGCATGAAATTGCTCACGGGGAACCAGCCCGAGCACTGCTCTGGCGCCCCAATTAGCCCCCCAGAATCCTGTTTCAGCTTTTTTAATTGGCTGGGTTACCTGCAGGTGGGCTGAATGTGTACGGGTCTGTCTGGCAGCTTTAGTTGGCAACATTGACGTGCTTGCTGCCTGTACACATATTGACATGAGCTTCTGAGGGGTATGGAAGATACTTACACTGGAGATAAAAGCCAGCCCACTAGGAAGTATGTCAATATCTTCAGAGCCATTTTCTGCAAAAGAGGCAAATGATCACAAAAAAATGCATGTTTGAAGACTTAAGAGATAAATCTCACAGTCAAAAGTTTGAATTTCTTTTGGAAACTTCATTGACTTTTTGCAACTACTGACTTGGGACACTGTATTAACTTTCAAGAATCCCAGAGGTGTTCTACAATAAAACCTGAGTCAGACTCCAAAATAATCTTTTTGTTTGTTTGTTTTGGAATTCCATCTCAAGAGGAAAAAAAGCAAGTAACTATAAAATAAAGTGATATCCTAGATTTATTCTTTAAATAATGACTTCTATCGTCTGTCCTGAGAGGTTCCACTTTATTCTCCTGATCTATGGCCCAAGTGGCGACATTTGGAAAGTCATCAATCATTTTGAAGGTCTCTTAAAGGCCTCTCTGCCGGGCAGTTCTTTTTCCAACTTGTTGAGGCTTAGAAAGTCTATTGTTATATAATCTTACTGGGAAGTTGTCGAGTAATTGCTCTCTTTTACAAAGGCAATTGTCTGAAGACAGACTACTAAAATATAAATGCATTTGAAAGAGTTTGGTCAGATCTCTTTCCACTGAGAGTTGTTCTTAAGCATTTTTCTTAGGAAAGAAGCATATAATAAGCAAGTCATGACTGAGACTAGGTTGAAAAAAAGGGTTTGCAGGGCTCCTAGTAGATAAATGCTTTGACAAACAATGTGGTAGAAATGATGCCATAGGATGGATGTATAAAGTCACAGCCATAGCTTTTGCTGGTTCTCTCTCTCTCTCTCTCACTTTCTGCACGAAACCTGGGAGCCCTAAACCTAAATGTAAGAAGTCTGGCTACCTTCAAGCTACTGAGGAGAGAGGCTGTACAGAGAGACCAGACAAGACTGAGAGGGGATGCCCTAAGGCACCTTGAGAAAGGGTCATGCCAAAGCATGACTATCAGATACTGCCAATCATCTCACATCTTGGAGAGAAGGTTGTGACAGCATGCTAAAACAACAAACAAAACCTACTATGGAGTAGAAATGTATCTTGGACACACAGGAAACTGCAGGACAGGGAAAGGAATAGAGGGGAAGATAGGAAGCCACCAAAAACACAATGGTTGTCCCTTGATCATCCTGTTCAGGAGAAGTCCTAATAAAGCCATTTAGATTTCAAGTGTAGCTTTGAGGAGGTGCCAAGGGCAGCTAAATAATTGCCTGGTTAAAACAACCATCAACTCTAAAGCCTTGGGGAAAAGATGAATGCAATACAAAAAGATCTATGAGATATGATTTCTGAATTTCTCTTCTTTTTTACCTTCCATCCTTTCTACCCAGAAAGAATATTGGACAAGGAAATGGGAAAGAGAGTTTCTTCCACCAATAAAATAACTCCCAAAATTCTGGGTCATGAAGAAAACACAAATCAGAATCCTGCCCCCCCCCACCCTATTACTGCCTACCACACTCTGACTAAAATCCTTTAGTGGTTTACCATTGCTTCACAAAGCCATTCACTCATCATATAATTGGGTCTCGTGAGAACTGTCTCATTAGTGACCTTTTCTTAAATACCCAGCCTGCCTTGTTTTGATCAGCCCTACTTATTAATAGTTCACCTTTTTGCACCTCAGACTTTGTTTTCTGCCACCACCAAACCTCCTGAATCTTCTGTAATAAGAATGTGTCAGCAGTAGGTAAGAAAGGCGGTGCCACACAACAGAGAGTACAACGCACAAACCATCCTGGCTCATGATCTAGGCCTGCCGCCCTCTGGTTCGGAGCCACTGGCAAGTGGCATTGTGCTTCTGTGCGTCAGTCTCCTAATCTGTGAGGACAGACGGCCACACCCACCTCACAGGTCAGTTATGAGGATGACATAAACATTGGTAAAGGTCTCAGCAGAGTGTTCAGGGACACTAGGCAGTATTATTATTGCTTTTAAATACGCATCAACACTGTCCTCTTGACAAATGACCCATGATCATTCTAACTTGTTTAGTTCTCCAAAATGAAATGTAAATATGCTACCAGACACAAGAAGAAACGTGACATTTTTTTCTACTCCCACCCTGCTCCCTTTAAATCATTCTCTTCAAAATATTTGAATAAACAGTACATTGATTTACATGTTATAATATTAGCTGTAGTTTTATCTTCTCAAACATGTTTGATTTACATAATCTGAGAGTGTGGCTAGATACTGGCGATCACCTAGTCCAGCGATTTTTGACTTTTTTCATCTCATGGCACACATAAACTAATTACTAAAATTATGTAGCACACCAAAAAAGTCTACTTTTATTAATCTGACAAAAATAGGTCTAATTTTTATTTATTCACCCCAGATGGCTATGGATGTGTTGGCTGTTATCATTTTTTTATTTGACGATCTAAGGAAAAAGAGGTCAGTGCCCGTGATTAAATAGCCAGGTATTGCATGTTTAAAAAACTCTAGGGGCACACCGGTTGAAGATTGCTGATTTAGACAATTCTGTCATTTCCAGGTCCTGCATGGGCACATAACTTTTGCTCAGGCTGGGACGCACAGCACAAAGAATCTAGCCTCCCTAAAGGTGCCCTGTAGCCAATTCCTTCCCAGATCTTGTTTCTTCCCCAGGATAGTGTCAGGCAGTGGGGCAAGGGTCCCTGTTATTCAGAACCCACATATTCTTATCCCTTCTCCATCAGAATTCTTGCAGGAGCTCAGGCTGTAGAAAACAAACGTCAGGAAGGAGTTTGTCTTCAACTTCATGCTTTCTAGCCAGCAGCACAAACCTCCTCTAAGGCCAGGGGGCACAAGGACCAGGCCACTTTTTTTTTTTTAAAAGGAACCGGGAGAGAGAGAAAAGAGACCCAATTTTAAGAGTTCTTATTGTCTCCAATTTCATATATCTATATTACAAACTCCTATCATAATGGACTATGCTGTCATCCTGTCACATGTTGATAAATAAGCCACAGTCCTTGACCCTAGGGAGTCTGCAATCTGATATTGAGAGAAAACACTGCTAGCTATCAGATAAAGCATGTGGTAGGTGTCATAAGTGAACCAGACTTTCAGAGTGCTGTGAGAATTCAGAGGTGGGAGGGGAATTGGCAGCCCACTTCAGCAAGCAGCAATGAAATCAGTGGAGGGAATTTCATAAACAAAGGTGAGAGAGTGTAAAGAACTCATTTCCAGAAGAGTGAACAGAATCTAACTAAACTTTTTTTCTGGTAGTGCTGGGGAAAACTGGAGGCGTGGGGCCCAAATCAGCAGTCCCGGCAGTCACTCACAGGTGAAATTAGCCCTGTGTAAGGGTACAAGGAGGCCGTTGTCAACCTGCGTCCTGTGGAACAACAAGGGACAAGGGGAAACAATGGCTCCATTGTGAACTGAGCCTTTTTGAAAATGGAGGTATCATGCCTAAGGAAAATCTAGAAGAAGAGCTGGTTGTGGGCGGCGAGAAAATACCAGAAATACAAAGTAGAATAAAGTGGATTTTAGATGGGACAGGAAGGCCTCCTGTTTGAGAGGTTAAGGGTCTGGCTATGAGATTTCAATTAATCTCTTTAAAGACATCTCAGTGGGCTGTGAGGTCCTGGAAGGTAGGGAATAAGTCATATTCCTCATGGGACCTGCAGACACATTTTGAATGAGGTGACACTTGAAGCCAGAAATATCATTGAGAGGGAAGAAGGAGAAAAAAGAAGACAGGCAAGAGAAGATGACAGAGGAGAAAAATGTCACAGAAGGGACAGGAGGAGAATTTGGTGAGGGACAGGACAAGGACTAGTCAATGACATTGTTCAAATGATAGAGGGGCATCGGTAAGCAAGAGACCTGAGAAAAAGCTGCTGGTTTTGACACTGCAGAGAACCCCTGAAAACCTGGGCTGAGGCAGTTGGGGCTTAAGGGGTGGCAGGGGATTAAATCAGTTGGCAGCCTCACTCAGGTGGGTGGTGACCAGGAAACTTTGCTGGCCCCTCTTGGCACTGTCACATACATACCAATTCCCTCGATGAAGTGGCAGTTATGGCGTTCTACGGGCTCCACTTCTCGAAATGCATTAGTTCTTTGTCTGTGGAGGACAACAGTACTGGAAGTAAATGTATGACTTCCAAAATCAATGTCTAAACATGGTCTTTAATTACTTTCATATCCATGAACTCTCTTTCCTCATTTAAGGGCACTAGAACAGATAGGTGACTCCTTTTGTTTACATTTATTCACATAATGTGGACATTATGTGGGTAATGTGCTTTTATCAGCTAATCTCACCCAGTTATTACTGAAAGACTAAAATGCAATTATACATGGACAATGCTTTGCTGCCCAAATAGAAGATAATATTTAATAGCATGAATAACTAACTGCACAGTATTAGTTGATTTAAAAGTACAAGATGTGTTATCTAATTTGATAAAGTATTGTCTGTTATAAATCTGCACTTTGGCACCCCTTCATCTACTATGGCCTTGCCTTTTGACTCACCCCTTCCGCAAACTGCTTTCCCCAAGTTCAAATTCCCCAATAAATAAACCCTGTGGCCTTTGCTTTAACTTCATTATCTTAAAATTTTTATGCTGACCTACTTTGCAATTCATCAAACTAACCACAATCTAAGGAATTGGCCACATTACTTTTCAATACAATGCTCTTATTTCCACAGTGAGACATTCGTTTAAATGCCAGGGATATGTTTAAATTTTTAGTAAGTAGTATGCAGGAAGGCTCTAGACTTAGACTTCTCTTTCTGTCACTGTTAAAAAATATGCTTTAGATCGAGTTTATAATAATTATTTTTTACGATTCTCTCTCTTGGGTACACTGGGAGCAAATGTTACAATAAACACACTCGAACTGAACTAGAAAGTATTACCAAAGGTCTCTTCAAGAGATTCCAGCTTCTACTTAGAGAAATAAATCAAAGCACCCCAACGACAGCTGAAGGCAAGCAGAGGTTTTAGATCCACTCAGAAATGTGTGGCATCACCTAACATTTCCTTTTCCTAGCAGACCACTGACTCTTCTGAGATATTTTGGGCTATCGCCACCAGATCTTCCACTTCAAAAGCTCATACACCCACAGCATAGCAGTTACCACCTGAGAATTTAGGCTCATGCTCCCTCTGCCTGAATAGCTCTTAATTTGGCACGAGTTCTTGCAACCAGGACCCCTCAGTGTTTAACTGGCCTGGGGTAATGTCTGAGTCAGCCACAAATACCCGGGGTAGCCGGGTTTCCTCTCCCGAACCCAGCCCGTCCACTGAAGTCCCGCAGGACCAGAAAGCGGAGAGCGACCGGAAGCGGAGAGCGACCCGGAAGCGGGGCTTGGCCGGGTGACTTTCCGAAAATACACGGGGGCCTTTCTGCCCTACAGTTTTAGGAAAGGCAAATGATTCGCTTATTTTCTACCTCGCTTACTTTCCACTGGATGGAATTGAGGGGTGAGTTCCAAAACTGCTCACTCCTTCTACTGGCTAGGAAGGTGGCACTGGGAAGCCCTTGACCTTACCTCAATGACAAAAGTGAGCCGAGGACGCCCCATCTAGATGCCAACTCACCTGAGCGCCACAAACCTCTCCCCGATCAGGGCCAGACCGGCCCCGAGCAGGGTCAGCACCACCAGCTTTCCCATTGTTCTGGGAACCCAGCGGTGTCGCCCCGAGGGGAGTAGCCAGAAGGGGAGGGCGGGGCCACCGGGCTCCCGGGCTCCCGGGCTCCCAGGCTCGGCCCTGGACCGCTGCCCGCCCTGGACTGCTGCCCGCCCCGCCTCCCCGCACCTGCTCCCGGGGCCTGGCTCGGTGTCTTCCAGGGCCCTAGGACATCTTTCCGCGGAGGGGAACGGAATCCAAGGCTGCCTTTCAGCAGCAGGTTCAAGACCAACTTTCTTTTCTTTCTTTTTTTCATTAAAAGTTTTTTTTTTAATTTTAATTGTTGTTCAAGTACAGTTTTCTGTCTTTTACCCCCATTCTAGCCCACCCACCCAGCCCTCCCCCTCCCTCCCATTTCCACCCCCTCCCCAGTTTTTGTCCATGTGTCTTTTATACTTGTTCCTATAAACCCTTCCCCTTTCCCCCTGAAATTACCTCCCCTTTGGGCACTGTAGAGAACAGGCTGACAGCGTCAAAACTAACTTTCTGCTTGAGGTTCAAAGCAAAACCTTGACTCGGGATTGTGTGTGTGTGTGTGTGTGTGTGTGTGTGTGTGTGTGTGTGTGTGTGTTTTCTTCAAGGCTTGCAATACAGAAGAGTCCCGGGCTGAAGGTAAAATCCCAGTGTTAGCCCTCTGGACAGCTTGGTCAAGAGCACACCCAATGGTGTGTAGAAGGAGTTTGCTGCTAAAAGCTCCACCTTACCTCCTTAAATGAACCAAAGGGACCTCAGAAAGCCTGAGGTCAGAGCCCTAATTTCAGGTTTCTGGAAGGCAAGATGTGAGTTGAGCCAGAGAATTGCTCCTGAGACAGTGGGAGGACTGGAAAATGAAGATAATTAAAGTGAAGAGCATTTTAACGTGCCCTTCTCCCAGGTCCTGGCACAGGCCCTCCCCCCCTGGCCTTTATACCAGGCTTCAGCCTACCGAACGTGGTGGGTGCCCAGGTCGGTTTGTTGACTGGGCGGATTTGTGAATAGCAGTATCTCCCCCTGTGGGTGATGGGATAAAGAAAAATCGGGAAGAGCGAAGAAAAAAATAAATAGAATAGGTAACAGGAAGATGAGCCAAATGGGAGGAAGGCAAAATAGTTTTTGGGGGTGGTTAGATTTTGAAAAGCCTCCCTGATCCTTCTTTCTTCTGGGTCTTCAGTTCCTACCCGATAAGGAACGCTCATTCCTCTCTCCTAATGAAAACCGGACTGGAGGGAGGGGATGGGGAAGACAGGAATTTGAGCAAAGTAACATCTTCTAGGACGACCTGTTTTATTTACCAAGAGAAAGAAATAGTTCTGTTGAATTCAACTGAGTACATACGTACTGAGAGAAGAAGATTGAGCAGACCTGGAAATATTAAGAAACGAAAAGGTGCCCCTGATCTACGGGACACATAATTATAATATGAATACATAACTAGGCTGTGAATAGCAAAGCCTACCACTAATGCAGCACCTACTATGTGCCTAGCATTGTGCTTAGAACCGTAAATGTGTTCATGTCCATTCAGTGTATATTGTCCTCTGGAATGGTGTGTGGGTGGAGCCGTGGGGGGCTGAGAGAGAACGGGAGGAACATTTCTTGTCATTCAACACATAGAAATATTTGATGACCACTTACAACTACTTGCGCAGCATTAAAGACACAGTGCAAACATGACACCCATACCCTGGGGGGTTCACATTCCAGTGGGGAAATATATTTTGGAGAAGGGAGGGAAGGATGAGAAAAAAGAGAGAAAGGAAGATGAGAAAAGAAGGAGTGAAGGAGGGAGAATAGGGAGAAGGGAGAAAAGACAAAGGAAACAAGCAAAGAAGCAAATCATTTCGTATTCTTTTATGAAATGGTCAGTCAAGGGTGGCCACACAAGAAGCTCAGGGAAAAAAAACTTCATTACACTCACAAGTGCTAGTGACAGAGGCATGGCAGCCATGCAGGGCCACATGGGAAAGACACCAGAGTGGGCAGGAGGCAGAAGACAAGGTGGTTCAGGCTTCTGCTCTTACTGGGGTTTCTTCAGGAAAAGGCAGAACAGGACCAGCTGAACAGGGTAGGGTTGGCTGCTACAAACAGTGTCTCCAGGCTTGGGCTGTAGGATGGTCCCTAGTTGCCTGGTGCCTGGCCTCAGGATGACTAGACAGAGGAACGCTGTCTCCTGGGATACATGGACCCAGGACTTACGGCTCCAGATTGGTTAGTTTGCCTACCACAGACATACTCCTGATGAGCCCTTGCTCTCTCTGAGAATTGGAAAGGCCTCCCTCAAGAGGTGACGTACAACTGAGACACTAAGTACAAGAAGAAACTGGGTAAAAAGCCGAGAAGCATTCCAGATGAAGGAAAGGGTGACATTGGCCCGGCACAAGCTGCTGCCGGAGGAGAAGGGTGCCAATGAAGCGGGAGAGGCAGGCAGAGCCCAGATCCCATGGCCCCTGGCAGGTCTTTGCAAAGAGATTAGATGATTCAGAAATGCATAAAGCAGGAGATAATATGATCTAAGGACTTTGCTACTGAGTAGAACATGGATTGGAGAGGGAAAGTACTGACACAGAAGGGCCCACTTGGAAAACGTTTGGGTATGAAGTAATAGAGGGCTCAACTGCAGAGCTGACAGTGGAGAAGAGATTGGAGCCATCAGTTGGAGATAGAATCAGGTTGAGTTTCTGACAGTTAAGGACAAAGACAAAAATCAAGGATGACTGTAAGGTTGTAGCTGGGGATATTAGTTTTGAAGTCCAAATGGTCCCTGACTTACAAGAGTTTAACTCATGATTGTTTGACATTATGGTGGTATGAAAGTGTAACCATGCAAACTGGGGCTCGGCCACTGAGTGCCTTGAATCTACATGACCCAACAATATGTGTTGAAGGAAACAGGTTTTTGTAAACAGGGTTCCAACCCTGTGGGGGCTGAGGGCACTTCTGCTCTGAGCCCTTCTCTTCTATGAGACCCAGAACTTCCCTTTCTCCTCAAAAGACTACAAGCCAAAAACCATGAAGTTCCTCATTTCCTTATTTGTCCATCAGCCAGCCATGCAAATGGATCTCCATCCTCTCTGGAACATGCATTTGTGGGTATCAGAGTCACCATCCTCTTGCAGCTGCTGTTTCTTTCAGGATCTGCAGGGTGCTGTTCTCAGTCTGTGTGGTGGTCCAGGAAACTGTGCCGTGCTACACTCTTCCAGAGGATGGAGCCCAGGGAGGCACACATCTCAGTGTGGGACCCTGCCTCCAGGAGTGGGCTCCCATGTGCTGTGGGGTCTAAGCCCTAGGTGGGTTTCACATCTCCTGGCCCCATGAGCACTCCTGTCTATGTGGGGAGCAGAGCCAGAGGACCAGAACATACAGATGCCAAAAGCCCAGAGGCAGAGAGCTTGCACCAAGCTCCAAACTCCCAAGCTCTAAACCAAGAGCCTCCATATCAAAACAGCGACTTCTCCTTACACCCTTCAGAAAAGCAGAAGTCTGTAGCTCAGCATTCCAGGTCACAGTTCAGCTCCAAGCACCTCTCACGTGTCTGTGTGCTTGGCCAGGCAGGTCCCCACAGCTCCGGGCCAGCTTTGCTGCCATCTTCTCCTGACAGACCTCTAGGCAGACCTCCCAACCTCACTGCGGAAGTTCCTATTACTTAAGCCCGATTGAATGCTTTAATTTGAATGGTAGGGTTCAGGCATTCTATTTGAATGCTCAGCTCAGAACTTCCTACTGTATGTTAGTTTCCACTGTTTTTGTCAGTTCCCAGTGTCTTTGACCCTCTTTTGGCTGCCATCTTTAGTCAGGGCAAGAGTTCCCAGGGACTCATGGGCATCCAGCGTAGGCATCCAAGCCCACTACTCACACAGGTGTTGTATGAGCTTCCCCTGCAGCTGTGTCATGAGTCACTCTGCCAGTGCACAGTCGCACGGTCATGTACACAATTTGCAGCTTCTGCAGATTTTCCCTTCAGGAAGGCGCAGGCTGCTAAACTGCCTTTGTTACATAACGTGCCTCAAACTCTGCACTTTCTGCTCTGTGGGCACCCTACCCCACCCCCTTCCAGGACTTGGGGGATGTGGGTCTCTCCTGCCCTCAGCAGACCCCTGCTTTGTACCCCATTGCAATAGCAATACACATTCACTACAAACTGTACTTCGAATTGTGAATTTTGACCTTTTCCTGGGCTAGTGACATGCAGTACAATCTTCTCTCACGGTGCTGGGCAGTGCCAGTGAGCTGCAGCCCCGGGGCAGCTGCACAATCACGAGGGTAAACAGCTGGCACTCTGCAGTGTCCTACGTGGCCAGCGTTTTTCAGGTACTGTGTTCTGTGCACATTTAAGGTAGGCTAGGCTAAGCTATGGTGTTCAGGAGGTTAGGTGTATTAAATGCTTTTTTATGATTTCTCCAACTCGGTATCCAATGGTGCAGTACAACAAAAGTCTCTACACTCCCAAAGTGATAATCGGTGATTGGTAGATACAGGTAAGTACAGGTAGTCATCGAACTAGTTTTCCATTTTTCTCTAGGTTTAAACTTTTCAAAAGTTGGGGGGCTGGTTTCCTCAAATTATTTTCTAAGCACATTTGTTTAGTTTCTTCTAGTCACTCTACCTATTCATCTATTTTTATCATTTGTTGACTGTCTCTTTAGAATATAGGCATTGTGTTTGATTCACTGTTGTATTCCAGTGCTTAACTCAGGGGTGGCTACAGAAAAGCCACTTAGTATATAAAAAAATATGAAGTGAATTGGAAGTTATTCTTTTTTGCAGTTATAAAAATTAGATTGGGCTCTTTTCTCTTCTCTGCCTTTTCACAGAATAAAAATCTTGAAAACCAGGCGCAGGAAGCCAAGAGAGAGCTGCTGGGACCCTCCCAAGCCTCCTCCTGTCACACCTGAGAATCCTTTCATGGGAAGCTGAGTGAGTCATGAAAACGATGGGCAGCTAAGGAAAGGTGGGCAGAGGTGGGCAGTGTGGTGGTGGGTGCTCTAAGTTCTTCATTGCTTTCCTAGGTAGGTTGTGACTCTGGGAAAAGATTAAAATCGAACAAATCAAACTCTAAAAGAAGGATAAGGGTTAGATTAGTTATCATTAACCAATTAAATAATCAATACACAAAATGAGAAAAAAGTACTATTATAGCTGATACTTTATTTCCCTTGATCCTTGTATTAGGTATTTGTGTTCCCATTTAGCTGTTGTTAAAAAATGAAAATTTTGAAAAACAAAACAATATTTATTGTCACAGAACAGGATCCCAGATTAAAAGAAACTCTCTCTCTCTCTCACACACACACACACACACACACACTCACGTGCACACATGGAACCTATATCCACCTAGTGGTGATGTACCCCAATTGCAATTTCAGTCCTTTCGAAAGACTCGACCTCTTAATAACCAAATTGTTAAACTCAATACATGACCAGAGTAAGAGCACTGTAAATAAATACACAATACATTTATGATTCAATAAAATAGAATCCTTCATGATCCAGAGGCTAGAGTTTATTTTTAAAATTCTTTCTGTATTTCTAGGTTAAATGATACATGTGCTTATTATATTTACTTTTGTCCAAATAAAAATTCTAATAAATACAATAAAAAACCAAGTTCATTTTATGCCTATTGTATTCTGGTACTTTAAATGAAAGTAGCTTTTTACATAGTCATTGTTATAATCTAAAATGAAAATATATGCTTCTTGGTTTTGCATCCCTAGTGAACCATATTTAATCTTGCTTAATTTGTCTATGACTTAACATTTTTATGTATGGATAATGGAAATAGCAAAAAAAACCCCAGTATTTTAGCATTCAATAGTGCCAATATACATTAGCAACAGGCCACTTAAAAATGTAAATAAAACCAGGCCAAATGAACAGAGGCCAAATTTAAGCATACTTCTGCAGTTTACATTGAAAAGCCATTAAATGATTTGTCTAAAAGCAGAAATCAACTAATATATGAAGGGAGAAACTATATATTAGAAAAAAACATTAAAAAACAAGGTCCTCATTAGTCCTGTGTCAGTAGCTTTCTGTGTACAGAATCCGGCATCGGGAATAGAGAACCACCCCTTACCGGCTGTGACAATGAACATCTGCAAAATGTTAACGTATATAATGTTATCGTATATCACATCAATATCTACTCCCTTAGGGCTGTAATTAGGATTAAATGAGATAATGAATGGACCATTTTTAATCCATGCCTGGCACATAGTAAGTAGCTGACAAATATTTTGATAAGGATGCCAAAGATATGGAAAAGTATGAGAAATGAAAGAAATTGTTTTTTGGTTACCATGGAAAAAGTCTTTCTCAAGGGCTTTAAGATGGTTTTATAGGAGGTATAGAGAATAGAAAGAACTGCCCCTTATGTGGCAGGGATTCTTGGCCTCAATCCTAGCACAGCCAGGATTAACCACGTGGCCCTGGACAGCTGACTTCAATCTCTTTTGATGAAGTTCACAGTTGTGTTCAATGGGGAGGTGGCTTGGCCCTCCAGCTCCAACCTCTGACCTCTTCTTTGTAGGCCGGGTGGGCTCGCATTAGGAAAAGAGCTGGTGGAACACTCCATACTAACTGAGAATTTGAGCGGCCATATTTAGTTGATTGTTTTATTTTACTCAAATAAGAGCTCATTTACATTCAGCTTTCAATGAGAAAAGACAGAAATTAACCTTAGGAAGCCTGACTGTCAGAAGGAAATCCCAAGAGGAATCAGCCACTTTCCCATCCCCCCTGAGGACCTGCCTTGAGAATGAAACACAGACAAAACCTGGTCTTCAGTTAGTCTTTAATAGAACTCCAACTCTTTAGTAGTAAACAAAGATGTAAGTATAAAACATCCAAACCTCTCAGTAGTTCCGAACAGTCACAGTGGTCACGCTGTTGGAATAAAGGTCACTCACATTTTAAGGAAATAGATCTACCCTGTTTCAGTGGAATTCACCACTGGCCATTGGAAGGAAGAGGTAAGGCTTATTTTGTGCAAAGTGTATTCACTTTACCAAAAGCAGCTTCTCTCTCTTTAACTTGGCATTAAAAAAACAAACAAACTGTTCATTCTCCTTTTGTTAAAAGTGCTACAAGAACAGAAGGGCCTTCCCTTGCTGAAATAAAATTAACCACACAAGTCATACATTCCTGGCTTGAGTTGGCTGGTTAAATTCCCTCAGAATTAGCGATTCATAGAAAATTAATTGTTAACAGAAGTTAGCACGCTCACATACCAACAGTACAATTTAGAGTTCACAATACAGGGCTCTGTGGTACAAAGTGCCTATGAGCAGCTTCCTATCATACACTGAGGCCACAGAACTTCCCTGGAGGACAGATCCGTTGTTGGCATAAACTGTTGTCACCGTAGGCTTCTCTGATAGAATATTCTGGATGCGGAGAACCTATTCAGGAGAGACAAAGGATTACTATAGAACCACCGTACGCCTGTCAGTCCATCATCAATAATCCGTCTTTCGCAATGAAACAATGGGTAAGAGGGCATGTTGTTGAAAAATAGCAGCTACCAGTCATTTTAAATGTTTAATTGAAGTATTTTCTTAAACCTTCAAAGAAAGTACTTTCTTAACATCTACTTATTCATGCCAACACACAGGACTTAGTGCTATTATAGTAATTGAGCATTAACGGAAATACTTCCACACTAATGCACCTACTTTCACGCTACTTTAAAGCTGGAACGAAAGTCAGGACATGTGGTGCGTTGACAAAAAGCCAGGTATTTAAAAAATTGCCGGTATGCCACACAGGGAGCCCACATGTCTTTATAAAAACGCCTTTTTACTTGCTGCCACCATAATTGAGTACATCAAAAGATTACCTTTCTAAAAGTATTTAAGCAATGTGAAATTCTGCCAATTGTTGGCTTACAGCAACTGCAAAACCACTACATTAGTTTACAGTATTATTGGTTTAAAAAGACTAATTAAACAAACCATCCCCATGACAGTGTACTATATCATTAGTTCAAAAAGACTTGAATAATTAAGGATGAAAACATAAAAACCTCTGATGAAGGAGGATTGTTCGGGTCATAAATGAAGAGCTTCTGGCCATTAGGATGACAGCCCACCAAGATGTCCCCCGAGGCAGGATCAATAGATAAATTATCCACCAGTGTGTCCAACTTGAGTACCTTCCAAATGAAAAAATGTCAGTACCTAAATGACATGAGAAACTTGATTAAATAATTTGGGACTAATCTTTCCTGCCTCTATGCATGTGAGGAAATTGTATCTCCCTGCTTCTACTCCTTTAACATCAATATTGCTTAGAACAAATTTAATAAACTGATTTAGAGTCACTCTTCATCTTCCCTGAAATTAAGAAAGTTAGGGTGATAATCCATCTCTCTAAAAAATGAATTCCTTTTCCCTCAAAAGATGCACAATGAACAGTTAGTCAAAGAACTCATTCAAAGCAAAATAGGAAATTCTTAATCAATCTCAAATATGTGTTGTCAAGCAGGAAGAAAATAATAACGGTGTGGAACCCAATTTCTACCTTCATTTATTATTGAAAGAACTGACAAGTGCATAAATCTTCATTTCAGAATTCATCTATTAGTCTTTTCAATTGAGAAAATTCTTATTGGAATTCATCAGGTGCCGTCACTACTTCATGTAATGGGCTCTAAATCTGACGCCAATGTCATTCCCAACCCACTGCGGCATGCAACCGCAGCCAGCCTTCATGACTGCTGGAACGGGAGACTCAGCCAGTTTTAAGGTGGTAGTGTTTGAAAAACCGGGATGCCAACACTGGCATCCATACTCTGTTCCCAGTGAGGTACTGCTATACTATAGTATAACTATGTAATTTCAAAGTATAATAGATTAATGTACACTTCATATGTAAAGAAATATTTTACCTTCAGTTGAGTTAAATTCATATTAGGATGTTTTTCCAAAACATGAATTTCATGAGCCAAGGTATCAGCAACGTAGATGTACCTTTGCAGAAAGGACATGTTGGTCAGAGGTCCATGGTAATATAGAGGTTCATTAACACAGCAGGCAAGCATACGTCTTAATAATCTGCAAATAAGTTAATCAGTGATGGGCCCTCAAGCAATGCTTGATAAAGTCAATTTTTATTTAAAAAGTAAACTTTCAAAGTTAACCCGGTGTTGCTACAACAATCATGGACTTATTAAATTATTTTTCAAAACGTTTGTGAGGAAAAATAATATAGAAAATGTTCTGAACATAAAGGCTATGATATCTGCCACTGAAAGGACAACAGAACAAATATTTGGCTTCAAGAAAAAAGCTTTTATATTTCACAATACAATTATATATTTCTAGGTATCACTGACATATTATAGTACAGGACAGAACACATTTTACCATTAATATTCATTAGTACTTAATAAAACATTAACATATTAAAAACTTTAAGAGCAAGAGCTAAGTACCTATTCAGAACAATCTGTCCAGAGAATGAATTAATGGACTACTTTGATTTCACTCTTTGAATGGACTGTTCTGGGGCAACTGTTCTATTAAGCAAGTGTCATGTGTTAAGCCATGAACTCAGTATTGTGACAGAAACACAAAAAAGACACAGCCTTTTCCCCCCAAAAGTTTATAGTATATTGGAATGATCAGACTGGTTTGCACACATTAAACAAATAATGCAGCGTGACTGGTACTACAAGAAATACTTCAGGTCTAGAGACTGAAGAAATTATCTAGACTCTTGAGAACATAAAAGGGCTCACAAAGGAAGGAGCATCTGCACTGATACGGAACTAGAGACAGGATTTGAGAATATGAGGACAAAACACCTTCAAGGCCAAAGGAAACATGTGAGCTAATGCACAGGGGGAAGAATGAGAGAGGCATGTTTGCAAAATAATGAGTTCTTTGTCTGAAGCAAGAAAAGTATCAAAA